TTTGTAGGGGTATGGCACCCTCTTTTGGCCTCCATGGGCACCAGGCTTACACGTGGCACACAGACACAGACAGGCATAATACCCATACAATAAAAAAAAAACCAAAAACCAAAAACAAAACAAAACAAAACAAAAAAAAAAAAAAATTGAAAGCTTTGTTTTGGCAAGCCTGTCAGACTCAGTTTCTTTCATCATTACAGCGAATAGACGTTCCCAGAGTCAGTTATTACCAGTTTTAAGACTCTGTTCTTGGGTTCATTGTAGCTTAGCAGGGATTTGTTTGCATCAGCAGGTAAGTATCTTAGGAACTGTTGTCTTCATATCCCTTTGACCTTACGCAGAAAGCACACACATTTTACTTTTGCCCTTCCTTGCCTGCAGCAGTTGAGACTGAAGTCAGGAAGCAGTCTTGTACCTCGTGCAGGCCTGGAACTTCACGCAGTCTGGCTCTTTCCCTCTTTTTCTATTTTGGATGTGTTAATGGTTCTGTTTGTTTGCTTTATAAATTAGGAAGGCAACTCCAGCACTTGAAATAAGGACCCCAGCCCCACTACTGAGTAATACCGTTAACACTGGACCAGTTCAACCAATCACACACACACACACACACACTCACTCACTCACACACTACTCAAATGTTTATTATATATATATATATATATATATATATATATATATATATATTATAACATATATATATACACACACACACATATATGTGTATGTATAATCTGTCTTTTCACCTTTGGCCTATCACTTTTGAAAGTCTGTCACTGCTGGGGAGCCATGACAGCCTCTGGTTTTGAATGCAGCTTGCTTCATGAATTACTCTTTGTTCAAGTGAACACATTTACTGTGGCTGAAGTTGGTTTTTCCTCCTCCTTTTTGAAACAGATATTTTCTCTGCAGAGATTAGCAAATACCATTTGGCCTGGGTTCCAGCATAGTGTCTGCACAGCTCAGGGAATGGTCGACCGTTTGCTTACTGCATTACATTTCTTTCTTTTTTTTTTTTTTTTTTTTTTTTTTTTTTTCAGTTTTTTGAGACAGGGTTTCTCTGTATCCCTGGCTGTCTTAGACTCACTTTGTAGAACAGGCTGGCCTCAAACTCACTAAGATCTGCCTGCCTTTGCCTCCCTGAGTGCTGCGATTTCAGCTGTGCCTGGCATGTAACTACTTTTAAATAGAGTATATAACACATTAAAAACCAACAACAACAACAAAAACCTGAGTAACTCTTGCTTTTAGTGATTATAGGTGTCATCAATAGTTCCCTCCACGTTGAACTGGCTGAAAACATGAGGTATTATTTCCTTTCATCCTTTCAGTAGACATAACTATTTTGACTTTGTGTGTACGAAAAGTTACAGGATTTTGTCAAGTGCAGGTTAGGATGACATACTAAAATTCATCATATAAAAAGGCCTGACGAGGCGAGACGGTTCAGTGGGTAATGTGTTTGCTGCCAAAGCTGATGACCTAAATTCAGTCTGTGGAAGGAGAGAACTGATGCCCAAACATTGTTTCTGACTTACACATATATGCTGTGGCCCACATGAAAACACACACACACACACACACATAATAATAATAATAATAATAATAATAATAATAATAATAATAATAAT